CCTGTCACCTCAAACAATGACATATCCCTTGATGAATTCTTAAAACGTCGTGGGAAGTTTTAGTAAGTCATGTTTTGTCTTCCCTTCGCTAAATTTAATCTAGTTAGAGTTGAACAGAGATCAAATAAAATGTTTCGGCTGAAATTATCTGTTTGGGCTATTGCAAGAGAAGCTGAAGTTTATGGAGAAGTTTTCCTTGAAAAAGAATTATGTGAAAATAGTCCCAGAAGTCTTAAAAAGAACTTGTAGAGCGTGAAGCTTGCTTTATTGATGATCTGGTGAGTTTTGATCCCTTTAAATTTTTTGTGTTTGACGGTGACTTATCAAGTACGGATAAGTCAAGGATACAGGAATAAAGATTAGCTAAACTTTCTAGCTCCTGACTTTGGTTTTAAAGGCAATAATTATTGTTCTACTTTTATAGTCTAATTCATTTACTTATTGCTATGGTGCTTTGGAAGAATTTCGCTAACTTATTGGATTTTTTTGGAGCAATTAGTTTTTGGATGGAGTGTGTTGGAGACCCGAAAGCGAAGACCATAATCCAATCCATACTCACTGTTAATTGTAGCCTCTTAAAATCAAAATTTAGGTTAAGAATCAGTAAGGGTAATAGTGGTCTTTATGTAGTTTTTCTGTCCGAGGAGTTTATTCAAAGGGACTCAGATGTCCCCTGCTTAGTAGTTGCCCTTTGATTGCTTCTTTGTACTGGTTATCGACAACAGTACATTTAAACTGGTGATATGATTATCAAGATAATGAAGGCCATAGATATGATCAAACTTTGAGTTAACCCCCAGCCAGGTCGTCATCTTCAGCGATAACCCTCTTTTTGTGTGGGCGTCTTCTGATTAAAACATTCTTTAGGAAAACTTAATTAAGATGAAACATAGGAGAAAGGAACCAAATTGTTCGCTTAAGGACAAAAAGATCTGGCCTTTCTCAGTCTTTCCATTCTATTTTACCAATGAAAAAAAAAAAACGTCACTAAGAGGGAGGACCTATTGATGTCTTACAACTTTTATAACAACGCCAATAATGGCCATTGTTAAAGAAGGAACGTCAAGGTTAATTCAGACAACGTATCTACTTATTGAAAATAACAGCAATTTTAGTTGGCTAGAAATAAGCATAGCGAAAGTTCCAAATATCGGAACTGTGTATTTTCTGGAGGGTTGATGGACTTGTTTCATCTGTTACGAGTACAAGACTTGTGAAAGCTGGATTATGGTCTTCGCTTTCGGGTCTCCAACACATTCCATCCAAAAACTAATTGCTCCAAAAAAATCCAATAAGTTAGCGAAATTCTTC